AAGTAGCACTGCACATGTAATACGTTTGTGAGAATAATTTAGGAAATCACTATTAATAATACTGTTATTTATATCCGTTATTATTATTAATTATAAGTAAGTTCTTGCAACATTTATTATTCTACCTGTCAAGTTTTCTATATCAAAATCCTCTAAAATAGTTTTATTGATCTTAAATAATGATTCGCTTCTATTAGGTGTATTGACCAATATTCCTGGGCTGTCTTCCAATGTATCAACAATTAGACTTACATCTTTAGCAATTGATGGAACTGGGTGCTTGTCAGAGATTGTCTTGTTTGAAGTTTCATTTTCAAATTGAGAACAGATTTCCTGGACAAAACCAACAGATCTTGCAGCACGACAAATAATTTTAGTTTGCATATTTGATTGTAAGTTACGTAAGATAGCTTTAAGTCTTCTATTGAGATGTTCAAGATGCAAGTCACATGATATATTACATCCAATACGACCATGTGTATTAATAAATCTACTATAAGCTAGTTGTTGTGCTTTTCTTTCTGAAAAAAGGAAATTGTACTGTAGAAGCAAGGTAACAGCTTCAATTCTGTAATTATATCTGTTGGTAGCATTAAAGACAATAAGTAAAAACTTCCATAGCATCATCACCCTCTTCCCATCTCCTTCCCTTGTGGCATCATGAAAGTCTTCCCATAAAAGCAATAGCGTGATTAACTCAGAAGTGTATGTAGCAATAGCATCAGATTCATCAATTCCAGTTGGTACACTCAATAACCTAACATAACGGTCAATAATTATTTGAGAAACCTCTTGAACTGTAGTAGGTCCATTTATTGTACGTAGGACTTCTTTTGCAGCAGCAACAATGTAACCAACCAGTACCTTGTAAAGAAAGTCCTCTGTAGCTTTGACGTTTTGCTTGGGATCTTTTGGAACTGATGTTGCTTGTAGTAAGTTTTTTAACTGCATTAGTGTCCCTCGTTGACGTCCAGATGACACTTTCATTAATCGAACGAAAATTACCTATAGTAAACAACTATAAATAATATAATCATCATCAGAGCATGCCATGCCTGTAACAAAGTGACCCTGGCATGCCAGTCTTCCACTACTGGTATGAGACCCTGTAGCTTTTCTTTGTTAGTGTTGTGATTTCTTCTAATTCCAATAGCTGATCTCGCTCTAGCTACAGTTAATTGATCTCCCCCTATCAAGATTTGGTACAATTTGTCATCTGTCACTTCTTCTGATTCTCCATTAGGTAAAGTATTCTGTGATGATACTTCTTTTGCTGGAACATACTTGTGTAGTTCATCCAGAATTTTACTCATTTCGTCAATTTTATTTTCATTACGAAGTATGACTCCTAGGGGTACCTAGTTTAAATGAAGATAAAAATTTACTAAATGATGTAAGCTATCCTTTACCACAGTTGACTTCTTAGACATTTCAGCTTGCCTTTCATGAGGAATATGCCACACAACAGTCCCTGCCTCCGAAATGAATTCAGTCATCCTTTGCACAAGTATCCTTAAAATTCAAATAATTATGATTGAAAGTAAATTAGTATCTACCTTGAAATTAAAATAGAAAAATGACTCTTTGTTTCGGATACATCATCTTTTGATGGTAACAGCTTGGAAACATTGATAAGACTACCTTTCATGGCATCAGATACTCCACTAAGATCAATTCGATCAAGGGCAGCATATGAATGAAAGTAGTGCAGGCTAATAGTGTGTGAATTTAATCTTTCATATGATGGACGGATGTTTTTGTCGATATTATCACCTACTATCTTGAAACCTTCCCAATTACTATTTGCAACTTCACTCTGCTCCAAGCTAGAACACTGAACAATCATATTCTCATCTGATCTTCTGCTACTGCATGTGTCTTCCAATTGTTCAGCAAAATCATCTATTTCACTCTCACTGCTGTCATCATCTGGTACAGATACTTCATTGTCAACTGTCTAAATAATAAATAATTTAAGTGAAACATACTTATTACCCAAAAAATCTTCTGTCTCTATGAATATGTCCTCGTGTCCATTACTAATGTCTTCAGGCTCTTCATCATATTCATTTGTGCTAGCAAACCTTTGTACAGGTGATGTTGATGCTTCATTCTATCAGTTTTTAAATGTAATACTTATAATAATTTAAAACATAATATACACGGCATACCTCCAAGTTTGGTAACAAACTAGTAGACCATAGCAATACCTTTTCATCAAATCCCTTTGACAGCCTTTCCAACAACTTTATAGTACCATCATGAGAGAGACAAATCATTAAAGGCTGTAAGCAGTTGTAAACCTATTTGGCGGCATGTTGTCATAAGAATTTGTAACAAACTATATACCTTAGTATTAGTGCCATTGCCATACAAAAGTAATGATACAGCTCTTTGCAAAAGACCCATTTTTGGAAGTCTTTTTTTAAGTAGCATGGATGCAATTGTGCAAGACAACTGCTGATCTCCTAATGCTAGCTCAGAAAGAACAGTTATCAGTGTTGGTGCGTTATTCCACAATTCATCTGATAGCACATCCCAAGAAAAATGCCGAACAGCTTCATTGCTATCTCTGAGAACTGAATTGTGTGTAGTGGAACAAATGTGCTTCATTTCCTTTTTCATTTGATCCAATAATTGAAGCAAAAATATGTCCCCAGTACGATCAGAATCTAGAAGAGACGTTGACAAAGATCTGTAACTTTTTCTTGCCATCCGCTTTATGTTTTCCTCTGTGAATGGACTCAAAGTATATGTCTTCTTGTATGTCTCATAAGGAACAGTGAGCTAAACATGCAAGGATTTTGAACAAGTTTATTAGACAACATTAATGATACTTACTATTGATGATGACAACTCTCTTGAACTACTAGATCTCTTTCTAGAGGTTCTAGGTGTGGATGTATAATTCTATATGAATTAATATATGTATAACTACATGCTATGAGTAATCGAAATATGGCACCTGGAGTTGTGGCTCAGTCACTTCTGTAGTTATGAGAGTTTCCAATTTAGATATTAACTTATTCTTCTCCTCTTCTACTTTCATCTTCAAGTTAAGTAATCTGTCTATACTGCCACAACAACTGTTACAGATGTAACACTTTCGACATTCGTCATCAACAACAGGTATTCGCCCACCAAATTTATCTTCTGACAAATCATTTAAAACACCCAGGTACTTCTTCGCAGCTTCTTCGAATAGTAACAACTTCTTTGCTTTTTGACTTTTCCCCTCCAATAACTGACAGCAGATGTAGCACTTACTGGCCATGACAATGCACGTGTCTCAAGCAGTATGCGGTAATTTTCAATTGTATACGGACTTATTTAATTAAGTGTATAAATGTCACGAAGAACGAGTGATCTACACTCATTCGACCAGACCCTCCCGTTGAGGGAGGGGCTGGCTACGCGAGACTACAGTCACAGTACAGGGCCGTAGCCAGGAACTTAAAACAGGAGGTTAGGAAATTGCTGCGCGCGAAGCGCGCAGCAAAAATTTTGACAAAAATGGGCGTGGTTGGTAGGCGTGGTCTTAATTTACGCACATGCGCATCTCAGCCATGTGCTGACTCAGCTAAAATGGCTATCTGTGCTTCTCGCTGTTGCCAAAATGCTAATCCTGCTTTTGCAGTGCTGTTCTTCATGACAGGAGCTAATCTAAAACTTTTTTGCAGCTACAACAGGGGGTTCGTCCGAACCCCCCGAACCCCCCCTGGCTACGGGCCTGCAGTATCACTTTTTCCTCACTTGAAGAATGATCTGATGGGACATGGACCTGCGCATAGACTGTTGGAGTAGATTGGTGTAAGAATTATCCTTGTAGCACCAACCAATACTGAGATACACACCGACAACTGGATTGACAGGACTTCTGACTTGATGATGAAGATGAAAAAGGTGGCTGAACAAAACGGCCGGTTCGCCGATTTTTGGATTTTCTCTTAGACAAGGTCTAGAGCCACGCTAGTAGTACCAATGGAGTCCTCTGGTCAAGATGAGGTCCTCTAAGAAGTCTGGTAAGCATAGGAGCTCGTTTTCCCGGTATAGCAAGGCTGCAAAAGTCGTGGCAGCCATTTTGTTTGGGGGTGAATCCTACTTAGTAACGCTACCGCGTTACTAATTATAGTCATAACGCATTATTTGATGTACATGTACCTTAAGTCCTCAACACAGTTTATACATGTGTTTGCATACTAAATGTATATAAAAGTGAGAACAGGAACATGTTATATTACATGTACTTAGTGGGACTACCTTAAAAAGACAATAGCTTTAAAGACACAATAGTTTGCATGTACATACAAATTTTAGTCATTTTCATAATACTGACTTTTTAACAAGGTTTTTAAAAAGGTTATTCACTGTCTGACATTTATAAATAAAACTGTATCATATCTTCTAAGCCTTTATAAACATACATAATTTGTTGCTCAAAACATAGTCCCATTCAAGGTCCATTGAAACTACCATTTTGTTAAAGTAACTACCGATACATACTTACATGTAGTTCACGTTAACAACAATCTTAATTACTAATAAACTCAATTGTTAGAAACATTATGCATTACATAGATGCACTTCATCAGCAACACCAAAAACTGGTAGAATGCAGTCTACCGCTCACATTTTAACAATCTTTTCTTTCAGGCATTAAGCTTATACATGTGTACATACCAGTGTTGTTTTAGTTCATGATTTACATTTTAGTTTTAGTTATGGTACTTTAGAACAAAGTATATTTAGTTCCAGTTCTAGTTATAGTAAAGCCTCAGCCTATTTATTTTAGTTATGATCATGTGATACCATTTTCTTTTAGTTATAGTTTTAGTTTTAGTTATAACAAACCAAACAATACGAAGCAAAAAAGTCATTGACTCATAACAATTTCAAATAATACCATTAACAAACACGCCCCACTAACAAAAGTACCCTCTCAACAGGGTCAATTTTGGTCAAATCAAAGTAGATTTCAATTAACAAGTAGGTGTGGCTAGTACTAGTACGAAACTGTTAATTCTATTTTAGTTATAGTTTTGACAAGTCATTTTAGTTATGATTCTAGTTATTTTGACATCAAATGGAAGAATTATAGTTTAGTTAACTAAATTACAATTTTGCTGTACTAAAATAGATTTAGTTATAGTTATAGTTAACTAATACAACACTGGTACATACATTAAAAGGGTACATGCAGAAACACATATTGTAAAGTATTAAAAATTCAGAGCCTGAAATAACAGTTAGACATCAGAAATTTTCCAACCATTTCACTCAATACCCACTCAAATTCTGTGTTGCTCTACCACGTTTTCTGACCAACACAATTTTAAAATAATGACATAAAATTAATTTAATTTATTATTAAAAGCAATTTAGAATCAAATAATCATGCCCTACCACAGGGTTTCCTTCATACAAAGAATAAGTGAGCTAAAGAGCATGCTCCATGAGCTAACAAAAACTACAATACATGCAGTACATGACATTTGGAGCAAATGTAAACATTCATAAAAATCTAATATTAATCAGAATAATTTGAAATTTTCTATACAACATAAAACATGTACATGTATATACATGTATCACAGAAAATTGTCAAAATGGAGAAATTCTCTCCTAGCCATTTTTGGTTGCTGTCCCTATTTTTGAGCAAATTTTAAATTTTTTATATAAAAATCCAAACATGATCATGTATCAGAAAAGTTATAGGAATCAGAAACTCTTTCCCTTTAATTTTGTCAAAAAACACATGTACCCTGTACAGGCTGTAACAGTACAGAAGCTTTAAATTAGCCAAATTATGCTAAAATCCTGTGGGAAACCTTGTCTAATGGTAAAACAATCTAAGCAATGTTCAGCGGACAAACATCTGAACATTGTTTGAATGCAATTTAAGGTTCTGTACATGCATGCCTAAACAAACAATACCAAATAATAATAAATATGATAACAAGAATGAAAAAGGCATGATCACTTAAAGGAATAAAGACAAACCTGCGATAGCTTTCCTCAAGAGAATTCCAACTGTGACTTTTATGACTCTCACTAGTACAATTTATGCAAATAAGGGTATTACATGTTTCACAGAAAATTTGTTTCTTATCGCTGTGGTGGCACGGCACAACAGTTGTGGTCACGGTAGAGTCATGGCCTGAAGCACTGACGGTAGATGCTACCTGAGATGATTTTGATTGAGAGCTATGCTCACTTAGCTTCATTTTATCATAAATATCTCGAAAATTATTGAGCTCGAAAGCTAAAGGTAGGTCAGAGACTCCAACGGTTCCTGGTATTTCTGTTATACAACGACAAATCGGGCAGTGTAGATAATAGTTATTTTCAGGTTTAGGGCATAAAGGGACGCCCTCTAGACATTTGAGACAGAAAGAATGATGACATGGTAAAATTCTGGGATTAGTATAAAGCTCTAAGCAGACCGAACAGGTGAGTTGCTCCTCTAGTTTCTTAAAATAATACGATCCTCGACTGGACGCCATCTTAAATTACTAATCAGCTAGGAGGAGTCTAATCAATATTCATGAATAGTTTTGAAATTGAGGGCCATTATGGCAAAGATCGACTTTCAAAGTATAAAGGAAGTCCTCAAAGTTCTAGATGATGTAGCGACAAGATATTCCAACGATGATTTGCTTTTACATAGCAGTGAGATCGAGACAGTTCACACAGAGTCGGTCCATATATTTATACCTTTATCTGCCTATGTGCAACGTGCTCCCCCAGTGTTTATAAGTGAAATGGCTGCTACCATCTCAAAATCTGTTGATCTGCTCGAGAAAATGAAGGTTGGGATTTTACAAAGATTTATAGATGGTAAGCTAAGTAGGACAAGCTGGGTGGTAAATGCTGAAGCATAATAATTGTAGCAATAGACACACCCCATGGAAAGCCGCTGTAACTAACATTTCTCATTCAGCACCCATGCACTGAATAGCCTAGCCCCGGGCGGTCAGGTGGTTACAAAACAAAGTAGGGGTAAGGCTGACTGTGAGGGTACCAGAACACCTGAAAGACATGTACATGTATATGTATGTAAACAAAGCCTTGGTAACAAAAGGGACATTTATTTCTGAGACGGTGTCATTTATAATGTGTCTGGACTAATGTATACAAAATTTAACGATAATTTCTAAAGAAAAACAAGATGGATAAAATTTTGCAGAAAAAAACAAAACAAAATCATAGAGAAATACTGTAGGGCGCCTTTTTTTCGAGGGCTATAAATTTCGCGGATTTCGCGATTTTTTAAAGATTCGCGAAAATTACTTTCGCGAAAATCAAATTAATACGGTACAAGATGGCAGACAGCATAAATTTGCGAAAATTAAATCCGCGAAATAAAAATCCACGAAATTTATAGCCCTCGAAAAAAAGGCACCCTACGGTATGACATGTATTACATGTTCATTTACCCAGACTCTAGAATCAAAAATGCATGGCCACATAATTATTTCACTCATGTGTGACAAGGTTTTACAGCTGTACATTATAATTAATGATAAGCCCTATGTACATGTACATGTACAGTATATTAAATTTTGCATTTCCCATTTAAACATGTTTTTTATTTTACATTATTAGTGTCTCTTTTACAGAACTTAAGCTAAAAAATAAAGTTGCTTCTCAGAACTTCCTTAAAGTCATTATGGCATTGGAAACACTTTTTATGGAGTGGTCATGTGATCAAAGGGTACAGGAGAGTTTGATACTGGTGGGTGTTGTTTATCTTCTCTTTCAGTAATTGCAATTACTTCAATGTCTTCTTAATGTTGACAGAATAATGAAAAAGGTATGCATTATGCTTTCATTATTGTCTTTTTGTTAATTTACTATGGGCATCCTATTATTGTGTGATGTACTAAAGCTAGCCTTATTTTCTGTCTTGTAAGACAAACAGTATTATAAATTTTTTATGATGTTTATGATTACATGATATGCCTTTATTATGGAAAGCTTAAAAATTTGACCAAATGCTATGTATGAACTATGTAGCTCATGGTATTTAATCAAAAATGGCTAGGAGAGAATTCTAATGTTTATTACATTTTCTGATATTGTGGGGAGGTTTTTGATGAAAACATTTTTTGATTGTGAATTATAAGTTTGAAATTAAATTGCAGTCAAAAGAAATACATTTTTATTATGATTAGATTGATAAGGCTTGATGTGCATGTGCAACTTTATCTATTTCATAATCTATTCAATGTGCAATCTAAACCCAGCCTAAGATACATGTACATGTACATGTAACTGTTCATATGTTATACATCAAGTATCCAGTTTGAATGGATTCCAATCAAATTTTTTGTATTTTTTCGAATTACATGGCTATGAGAGATTTATTAAATTTTTGATGGATTATTATGTATCGATTTTAAGCTGAATTTGATCAAAATTGAATGTAAAAATTAATTTGAAGCTACCATAATAAAATTAATGATTTACATGTCACATACAGTGTAATAGTAATATTATTCTAGTTAACGGAAGTAATATTGATAGCAATATTCCAGTATTGTGTAGCTCTAAATTTTTGTCAGTCTAAAATTTTGTCAAAATCTTAATTTTAAAATTTTTTGTCATTTTGTTATAATTCCACATACTATTCAAGTGGGGCAAAAAATTTTTCGCGAGAAGTTTTTTCACAAATTTGAAACTTTGACCAACAAAAATGTAGATCTATACTGTAATGCGATAAATTGGGTAACGGACTGGAAATTTAGATGTCATATGCTGCCTATTTACAATGTACATGTATCCCATTGTTGATAAGTGCATCATTATTCATAGTTCCAAATTTAGTATTATTACTATGTGAAAAATACCCTCACTCACAATTTATTGTAGTAGTATAGATTTTAATGTACATTTAATTGACCATATACACTGTACATGTACAGTGTATGTCTATATATTACAAGTACATGTATGTACTGATGTTATTGTATACCGTAGGTTGGGTTATATTCGTGGCTGCTAATATTCGCAATTTTTTCCCGCAGCTAGCATTTGCCATAGCAACTAGATGCTATTTTAATTGAAAACGGCGCGTTATTGAAGCACAGCACCCGATTGCAGTGTTCTTGAGTTGTTATTCTTCTTGCTGTTACTAATCCTTGGACTCTTTGAAGCTGTTTTAGCCAGTTCTTTTCAGAAATACTCTACTCGCTCTGCCTCGCCATGTCTTTTGACTCTCCACCCATTCTAGTTAGTGTTTAGTAACTTGGGTGTGGTTTATAATCATGACCGACCAACCAGCAGTGATTTTGTAGCGAAGAACTCAAAGGTAGCGGTCCATCTATACAAGAAGATAACAGATACAGAACTGGATTCTGGTTGGCTCTACTCAAGTAGCTAATTAGCTGCTGAACACTGTAATTGTATAAACACGTGGTCAATTGTCATAGCAACAATCAATTTGTTTCCATGGTATTTAATTGAACTTCTTTATTAGTTTTCATCACTGTGAATATTAGCAGCCGTGAATATTAGCAGCCACGAATATAACCTGACCTACGGTAGTATGTACATGTACATGCATTAGTAAGTTTCAGGTGCTTATACATACTGCATTTGTCTCTTTTATTTTCTCATATAGTATATTTTTGCTGCTGCCTTGACCATTTCAAACTGCATTCAAAACAACATGGATCTCTACATGTGCTTCCACCCCAACACACCTATCCTGTCAATTCTAGAACCATACTTTGGTAACTCTGATCTTCTAATTAGCTCTTGCACGAAGTTCATTCGTAACAATTTTTCGTGGTATCTACACAAGTCTGACCCTCAAGCTATTGATTGCTGTAGTCACATCAGTGAACTCATGGATTTGCTTCTTCAGTCATTTAGCCCAACTCCGCTCTCTGCTTCTAGTATAAGCCTTGAACCAATGGAGATACTTCATATGCTAGAACAGCTTAGTGTCAATGAAAAGAATAGGAAAGCCATTATTTGTCACTCCAAACTTGTTGAGGTAATGTCACACTTGTTGCAAGGGAAGGATCAAAAGAAGGATAGCATAATTGGCTCCTTCAATCTACTGTTAGGCATTTTATCACCATTCTCGATTCCCCCACTCAAAGCTGGTAAAGCTAAAGGGGTCAAACCTAATCCTGAAAAAAAGAAGGAAGAAATTGATTATAGATCAATGCTATTGGAGTCTCTGCCTCATCTCGTACCGTGGCTCAAGGACGTAGACTGTCAGTCTTCAGATGATTTAAAAGAACTCCGTGATGCTCTACTTCATCTTCTACAGGAGAAACCAGGTAAAACAAATACATATATTAATAAAAGTTACATGTGTAGGCTACTCTGATCTTTTATGCATACATGTATTGCTATATACATGTACATGTACATGTATTGCTATATACATGTACATGTACATGTATATGTACATGTTATTACTGTATTGACCTATGCTATCTCTACATTCCATTTTTAGTACACATACGTGTATCTTAGTGTTGTCTTAGTGTTCTCCCACAAATGTACAGGTGTAACAGTATATAATGTTATACATTTTTAAAGATACATGTAATACACGTACTTGTACATGTAACTTTTGGTCAAACCAGAGGGGATTTTTGTTACGAGAGGGTTAGTGATTTTCCAAATCATTTTTTATTACATGTACATATGACTTTTCCTTTAATCATTGCTGCTTCATAAAGGACTGTGGCATACCTTTTGTATATTTCACTCTACATTGTCATACATGTACATGTAGTTGCATTCATTTTGATTTATATTGGTGTTTGGAAATAATGAGTTTAATTTATTCATTTAGATATAGTTTTTACTGAATTTAATTTCACAAATTGTAACAATTACATGCATTTGCAAAATAGCAAAAAATATTATTTATTGAGTATGTTTCTTATACATGTGTAGAAACTGTCCTCTGAATACTAAAAAAATTGTGATCAAAATTTCTATTGTAAGTTAATTATATGCCAAAAAAATTTTGATACATGTACGTGTACAATGAAAAGAAATAAAGTAATAATGTTACTTAAATCATATTTCTAGTAATACTTATAACATGGCTACGAGTGATGTATCTAATTTACAGTCACTGATCCAGAGGGCACGTGGCCCAAGGGGGAGGTGACTGTAAATTAGATACATTGTAAATCGTGAACTAGCCATGTTATAAGTTGCTTATGTCAGGATGACACACATCAAAGGCTCTGGGGGCATGCGCATGTGCACCTTTACCACCTGCTAGACGTTGAATAATATGGCTGAAGCTACTGATTATGAGCCTGTGAGCAAGAGATTGAAAAGAAGTAAGATTTTAGATAATGAAGAGGTGGAAATAGTGCCCGAAGAAGAGAGGGAAACAGTGCCAGAACAAGAGGAAGAGATGGAAGTGGCATTAGAGGATGAAACACTGGATGGAGAGATATTTGTGTGCCTAAAGAAGTCCTTACAGACATATCAAGCTAGTTTTGTACCTAAAAATACTGCCATCAACACAAAGTGGGCTGTATCGAATTTTATTGATTGAAAAACCTCTTATAACCATCGTCATCCTGATGAGCTATGCCCTGACTATGTATTATTGAGTGACAGTTCCCTGAACTTTTTTTATGGCTACAGAGCTACATGTGTATATTTTACACACGAGAAAGAAAGACGGTACCAGCTATCCTCCTAAGACATTGTATTTGTTGCCATGTGGATTATATCGCTATATGAAAGAGAATAAAGAGTGTGTGCTTAATATATTCAATCATGAAGACCCAGACTTTAAAAAGCTATTCCAGACTTGTGACAGTTATTTCCGAGAGCGTCGTGATGATGGCGTAGGGAGTGAGAGTTCTGCAACTGAGGCTTAACTAGGGAAGATGAGGAAAAGCTGTGGGCATCTAAAGTGCTACATGTAGATCCATCACATCCTGAAGGACTACTTAATGCTGTTTTTTTTGAATGGCAAAAATTTTGCGTTATGTGGTGGTACTGAACAAAGGTCACTGAAGCTATCTCAGATTAAGAGGAATATCTCGCCTGAAGGGAAAGTACAATACACTTATGCAGAAAACTGTTCTATAAATAGGGCAGGCAGTTTTAATCATCTAAATATTCCCAACAAGGTTGTTCATCAGTACATGTACATTGTAAATGGAGAATTCTCTCCTAGCCATTTTTGACAAAATATCATGGATCAGGGGTTTTCTACAAAACTCTACTGAACAAGCTAAATAGCACACCTCATGAGTTGAACTACATGTACATGTACATGTGTATACTGGGAAATTGTGATTGTCGCACTTCCATCTACATGTGCATTGCATGTGCATATGATCTTGTAATGTTATTGAGGTAGATTGAGAGCATTTTCCCGGCACTTGTATTGAGTCAATAGTCAATGCACTATGACAATGCAATTTTGATAAAATTCCAATTACAATGTACATTCTGTTCAGGCTTGTAATTGAACCTTTAATTTCAATTAAAATTTGCTCCCTTTGTCAAACATTAAAACTTATATATAGCCAAATACATGTAAAATTAAAATTTGATTAGAATTAGCTCAAACTTGATTCATAACATGCATATATTAAATTGAGCGTTCTTTCCTAGCCTTTTTAATGAAATACCATGGGCTTTTATATACAGTACATGTTCATGTACACGTATGTAGTCTATGGTCTTTGGCCAAATTTTTGAGTAACGTTAAAAATTCAATTGTGATTGGAATCACCTCAAACATTCTACACAACATTATAAGTCGATGACTCGACATACAGCAGAACTCAGGGCCAAGTTAATACACTTATGTTATTTAAACGCTTACAAAACGGTACTGTTACTACTAGTATGGTTTGTAGTTCAGATTTTTATGTATACACTGTACTTAGTACGAGATGTTTATACAGTAACATTATAACATGATACGCTACATGAGCATAGCATTATACAGTACAAATGGCACTAACGCTAATGTTCAAATATTACATATACAGTAAGTGCTATGGTACGTACATACTTAATACATACGGGTATGTTACGGTATGAAATTGTGTATCAAAGTTAACTTGGCCCTGATCTCTGCTGTACATGTACATGGTATATCGTCTATCTGAAAATTTTTACTGTAATTTTAATTTTACTAGATTAGAATTTCTCAAAAATTAGATCACCTATATAATCACATGCCACACTCAATAATACATGACACAGTCTTATTTACATGTAGTAAAAATTAAATCACAGCACAATTTTAAAACACAAAATTTTTTACCGCACAAATTTCCTGATTTATGGTATTATGTATGAGAAAATGTAATAAGAATTAAGAATTTTCTTCTGCCCATTTTGATGAAATACATGTACATGTACATCTATAGTCTATGAATAGTGCAAAACTCCCACATAATTAAGATAATTTCCAAATCCTTGTTCCTGCTTATCTTAATGAGTTTATTATAAAATAGCTGTGCACGTGTGACTATACACCCAAGTTTTGGAGCACATTCTTTTTTCAACTAACAAAATTGTGACACGAGGTAAGTCGGACTGATACGGCAGTCATAATTCACTTCTTCCTTTCTTGGACAATGATATGAAGGGACAGAAATCTGCCAATAGCGCATTGTAGTAGAATAGTGTAAGTATTAGTCTTGTAGCACCAGCTAAAATTTTGATACACCTTGTTAACTTTTTAAAGACTTAATGATGATGATGATGATGAAAAGGGTGGCTGACCAAAATGGCCATTTTGCTGTTTCCTCATAGACAAGATTTAGGGCCACACTAGTGATGGCAATTGAGTCCTCTGGTCAAGATAAGGTGCTCTAAGAATATTGGTGAGCACTGGAATTTGTTTTCTTGGTATAGCAAGGCTGTAAAACTGTGACAGCCATTTTGGCTGGGGTGAATCCTGCTTAGTAATGCAATGATATTACTAATAGTATGTGCCAATTGAATTTGAATGTTTTTGTTTCTCATAATTTGTAATATCTCATACAGTATGTAGCTTTTTAGGTATTATCAATACTTTAACTGCTGTACATGCAATTACACATTAAAATGTACTTGTGTACTATACAATTTGAAAGTTAGTTAGGCCCTACCAATATAGATACATGTACTTTGATGTTACCAATAGCTGTCATTTTATTATTGTTTTTTGTATAGTTTCCAGTATTCAGAGAATGGCAGGTCAATGTTTCCAGTACAAGCATTATGAGCTTGTTGTTCTACTAGCTAGTCAAGCTAATGACTGCTCTCTTCTTGAAATGAAAGCACGTTATGAACTGTACTGCAGAGAACAGATCCTACTTCAGCAGAAAGAGAAGGAATTTCGTACATATGAGCTTAAACGTGAACGTCAGCTATTGTATGGTGAAGCAAGAAAGATTGTACCAGCTCTCATTAAGTGTGATCTTGGCAATCGAGAAATTAGGAAAATGTTGGATAATATGCTCATTGATATTGTTCGCGATTTGAATGAACAGTCTGGAATACGTAGCAAGAAGGGAAACACTTTCTTCAATTGTCTCCTTTGTCACAAGCCTGATGGACTAGCCAGAGGTCACTTTTGGGCCAAATCTCATATCATTGCAATCCGTGGGAGTGACAAGAAGTTTTTCAAAGATCGTGCCAGCCTACATAGAGAACCTCAAAAGAAAGAAGTCTCTCAGCTCATTTATTACATGTTCTGCCATACTTGTGACAATGAGATTCTAAGCGTTGACGAAAATTTATTTTCTATAAATATTATTCGTGTCATTTATCCTCAACTTAACTCACTGTTACCGGCAGAAGAGCATGTGATTTCCTATGAAGGTAATTGGCTTTATCGTTTTTGTCTCGCACTGATCTTTCGATGTTTTTGCCTTCTAAAAAATTTCAACAGCTATAGTAACTCTGAAGTTGCTTATAAAGTGTTTGAAGCTATTCGTTCCATTCTTCTTGCAAAGTCTGATGAAGTTGAAGTTGATTACCCAACTGTATTGATGTTTTTTACTCCAACAAGTGTTGCTGTGGATGAGGAGGAAAGCGGTAAAGAAGAGGCTGAGCCTTTTTCTATTTTAGCTGGTGTTTCTGATGGCAAGGAAAAAGGTGCAGTCAAATGTATTTCTAAAAAATGTCTTGACCCCAATGATTTTGCAAAGATGATACAAGAAAGCTCCAACATACTTGATGAGCCATTATATATTGATGGAAGTGATTTTTCACGGGTTAGTTACATGTCACTCTATGAAAGGCAAGGGAGAAATCAGCGGAGAGCACACTTTATGCTTAACAAGCAAGGTATCTTCAATATAGTTGTTCTTGTGGAAAAAGAAGTCATAAAGCCAGAGCATCAAGACTTTGTTATTAGTCCAAAAGGCGGTACCCTACATATACCACCTAATGATGTCAGAATGAGTGTACTACCTCCAGCAATCCTTCAAACATACAAAGAGAGAGTGCCACGTATTCTTGTTGATCTCCTTGAGTCTGATCCTAAAGTTAGTGAGCTCAATTCTATGCTGAAAATTTCTTGTATGGATCCTCACATGCCATCTCCCAGCTCTGTGCTTCCGTTACAAATAAATAGCACTGTGGAATACAATATTAATCTTCTTCCAATCAAGCATTATATTGATCGTAATCGCAATCTACTACAATTACCTCCAAATCATAGTGTATTACTTCATTGCACACAGCATGGTGAAACGACCTGTAGTGGAAGAACAGTCATTTTAGCTCTTAATGATAAAAATCGTCCTTATTCTATTATACACTCATACAAGCCAAACATGCTTATCAGTTTGGGGTACTATGTATCTTCAGAGGACTTTAGTTTTACTGGAAGGTTGGAGAATGAGAGTCATAAAGGAATGGAGCTTTTAGTTCAAGAAAATGATGACCTTATAGGATTGGCTGCTCAGCTAATTCCATTGACTTTACACGACATTGGATTGCTTGATTATAATTCTTTGCTGCTCTGTCATCAAGCTGGGTAAGTAGAGGAATGCAAGTACATGAGAGTTTCTATTGAATGAATGAGTCCCATCTCTTATTTACTAGGGGTATTGTATGCATTTAGTTTGTTTATAACAATGCCTTGGACATCTACTGGTAGATTGCACAATTAAAACACAAAATGAATTGTTTATACAGGCCCATTAAGCTTTGAGCCTATGGTACATGAATAAACCCAGCTGGTAGCTAAATGTACATTTTTTGAGCAAGAATGCAAACTGTTATTACATAACATTAATCACATTAGAGAGAGAGAGCAACACTACTGTAATGTATTGTATTGTGTGGTTAATTGTTATCCATGGTATATATTCTACATGAATTGTAATAAGCTTTTGGAATTTTTTATAGGATTTGTGTTGATAGAAAATGTGTTCCTGGGCTAGGATGTTGGTACTGTTCTCTTTCTTGTGAGATTTGTCGTAAACCACACATATTTGGCTCAATAGTTAAACTTATAAATGATATCGTGTTTAAATTTTGCTCTCAAGACTGCCTTAATTTCTATCATAAGGTCTTTGATGATCTGACGATGATGAAGGACATAAAACCTCCAGATTCTGAAGAAAATTCTGACAGTACCACTGCGAGTCAAGATTTTAACCAGGACAAAGGTGCTTTGGGAGATGGAAATACATCAGAAAATGCAAAAGAAACAAAGAAAGGTGATGACGAGAGTTTGATTGAGATGGCTTATAATAAAACGTTAACTTCTTCAATTGTTAATGAAGTAATTTCTCAAATGAACAATGCAGTTCTGATCATGAACATAATTTGCACCTTTGAGACACATAACAGTCTAAAAGCTCAAGCTACTATTAAAATTTTTCATACTTCAGCTGAAGGTATTCCATATGTTCCAGTGGCACCAAACACCTACCTTATGGTTTCATATCTACAGCTAGCATTTGAACAGTATATTGATGTTTACTGTGTAGCTAATGATGGGTCTCTACTGGAAAGAATTTATCCACAGAATGATGATTCTCTTAAGAGTCATGACATCTTTTCATCTCTTTCTCAGAGAAAAATATTTTTGGCCTGCAATCTGCATGAAGCACTGGGTGATATTAACATAAAAGATCTCTCTAATTTAGCCAAATAAACTGATGATGCATCCATCCACTTATGCAATAATTACTTTTTATTGTGCAATGTGCAGATGACTTCCTTGTTTTTGCTACCTCTAATAAAATTAGTTTCATATGTTTTGGTTTGTCTCTGTTCATAATGAAATAAATTTTAACAGAAATATCATGTGGCAATTATGTATAAGCTTAAGGTATTTCTTACATGTAGGTTTTTATTGCTGTTCGCTTAATTTTTGTCCCATATTGATACTTTTCATAGTACATAAAATTTTTATAAGAATTTTAGATTTATGCAAAGAAGCATGGTTGATAGCTTCATTATACAATATTTGTTTTCCATTCTAAGTCATATGGCCTTGTTACAACAATACTAGTGCCCTAATAACTAGCAGAATTATTAGAATTATATTTCACATTGTGGCACATTAATACTAACTATGTAGGTCTATTAATAGAAATTAATCATACATGTATTTAATTTTAAGTTACATTATGATTTGTTTATTGATCAAAAATAAAAGCCCTTCTGCTTCCTCTTCTTCATTGCTAATGCTTGGACATTCAAATTGTAGTTTGAATCCCATGCTTTGTGTTGAGTCCTTCTCACTCAAAAACAATAACAAGAAGTCTGATGTCTTGATGTGTCTGTGAGCGATAGAGTTTATATCATTACCAGTTATTGGCTGGTAGTGAGTATGAGTCTTGTAGTCAATGATTTCTAATGAATCTCCTTCAGCAATATCTAATACTGAGGAATATTTTGAGATAGAGATGTGTCTGTTTTTGCATGGCATGCTGACATTGTATACACAAACTTCATTTCTTAAGTAATCACTGCATCCATATCGTGGTGATTTAGCAATTGAAATGCCTCGAGTATCAATGAATCCTGTATGAAGAATGTTACCAATTTGACAATTGTTGTCTCCAATTTTAGGATTGTATAGTTTACAGGCAGCAGGACAAGTAGGTACTGCCATACTTTTTTCTTTAGCATATCTCTGAACAGCAAAGCATCTAAAAGTGCTATCATTGACATTCAAATAAGTTATATGCTGAAATAATGCTTACTTTGGTGGTATTTCCATTGCTGGTAGAGCATTATGACTAAGTTTACCAATGAGATCAAGGTCTGGGTGCTTAAATGATGGAAGTTCAGTATTATTGGATACTTTTGGACAAGTTTTCCAAAACTTTTTCCTTGCTTTATTTTGATGAAGGCAAGTTAGCTTGCCAATATTCATTGCTGATGGCTGTTGCAGATCACTTACTAAAGGAGCAGTACATAGTGTTATACCCATTACCACTAGAGTAGCAGCCAGTACTAATGAAGGCATTTCTATTATTCACTGTTACTGTTTGATCCAGTTGTGCATCAATCCAGATGTGTCTATAGCTACATCATATAATTTTGGGACTATTTGTATGCTTATGAAAGCACAATCTGTTATTGTTAGACCATCTGGAGGAGCTCTAAATCTACATTATATAGTTGTTTCTTCAAATGATTAATGCTGCTTACTTGTTCTTATGCTCTTATATTCTGGATCACTGGTGTACATTTAGGTCACTAATAGCTATAAATGAGCCTGTAGAAGTATAAAGCTAGATTATGACATAAAATTGGAGAGCTAGACTATAATAAGTCACTATAAATCTGGCATCATACTTAAAAGACAATAGCAACTCTAGTTGTTAATGTTGCAAGATTCAAGTAAATGTACCAGGTTTGTGTTGAAAACTATATTGTCTACCCTGTATTACCCTTAAAAAAATATTTTTTAGCATTAGAACAAGGCTAGTCTTACAAAAGTTTTCATAGCAAAGACATAATCATGAAAAAAATTATTTGACGGTATGAATTAAGGGTCAATTATGTTGTTTTACCAGCACAATATCTCATTTTGATTACACAATCCATTACAGTTACTCAGTAATTCAAGAAATCATTAAAAAAGTTTTCAGTTAACTTGAAATTTAAGATTTTATTGACTAGTGCATATAAAATAAATTGATCCTTAATTAATTATGCATTGTAAATTAAGAGCCATTAATCAACACACATTTTGATACAGAAACACCACACATCATTGACCTTATTCATCACTGTAGTAAGACATAGACTAATAAGGGAATGATGAAAAAGAAAACTGGGTAATCTGCAATAAACAACATTACTTGTTCATCAAATCAATATGCATGTGAGACTAGAAAAACAAAATTATCAAGAAGTAGAATTAGATTCAACCAGTTTGAGTTAAGTATTTTGTATCTGAAAAGTTATGATTTCGCTTAAAGATACAGCCACAAAGGTTACTTACACATTAAATGCATTGTAAATGATTATTTGAGCTTAAAATATCCAAGATGTTTATCTAAGTTATTTTCCACTGCTATTGTACTGTTAAAGTGGATGTAATATTTCATTAATATAATGTACTTTTGTGTGTTAATGCTACTTTACCTATTATGCTAAATAAGTATGTCTTGTTTTGTTTGGTAATGGGAGAAAGAGTTTGTGCTTTCACTTTGAGCACACAGTAGATCTATATTGTACATGGATCAAAACAAACTTGTCACTATAACAATTAAGCAATTATTATTAAAGAGATATCTCGTTGTTTACTTTTAATTTAATGAGGCTTTGTGACGTCACTATGATGATTTCGTAAAGTCATTAATCAAACATATCATACATTGTACTTTACTGTTCATTTGTTCTAGATACTACTCAAAGACACAAACTATTTCTCAAAATTTGACATGTTTTGCAACTGTCATAATGTTTGCTTGTGCTAACAGTAGGCATATAGTAAAGCGGTATTGGTCATGATTGTGTGAGTGACCTGAATTTTTGACACACAATCGATTCAAAAATGACTCGAAGTTGGCAAAATAATATTGTGTTGAGTTTATGCCGAGTGTAAACTGGGCCTTATACACATGTACATATAATTTGTCATGCTTTAAGTCCCTAGAAGAAGAGTTTTGAATACTGAACAGTGATGTATGAAAATCAGAGTGTGCATGAACTCCCAACTGCCATTAAGGAAAAACATAAGGAGTTCCTACAATCGTCACCATAGCAAAAGGCGATTGACTTAGAATAAACCACAAAAGTAATGACATAAATGGCTGTTTTTGTGCAATTGCAGCTGAGTAAACACTGCTGCAAGAGAAAATGTTTACTTTAGTTATAGTTTCAGTTTGCAAGGCTTAGCATGTCAATGCTATAGTAAACAGTGAACCGCATAAAATCCCTGAGACGAATTGATCTAGTTGTATAGTCAAAATGTGTTTTACTATTCTTGTTCTCTCTCTTGTTCTTTTGTCGGTTTCCAGTGAAGAGATTACTATAAGTAAGGAATATGAGTTGGATAAGTTCTTGTGTGATGAGACTCACTCACTGGATGATGATATTGTGTTGGTGTTATCTGATAACATCACTCACTTCATTAGTAACAATGTATCATTTTGTGGTGTGATTAATGATACCTATTCACTGACACTAACCAGTGAGTCATCAAAGCAAGCTCTTATACAGTGTAATGATTCCGGTATGCTGCCAAACAGTGGGTTTGCTTTCATCAATATACACAGCCTGACTTTAACCAGGTTAGTATTCACAGGCTGTGGTGAAGAATTGAAGAGACTAGCTGCGATAGGGTCAATCAATTCTAGAGGGTCTCCAATGCATTTCACACAGTATCATTCAGCTGTTTTGGTATTCTTTCATATCAATACATTACTCATTGATGAGGTCAATATTACTAACTATTATGGTTTTGCTATTCTTTCTATCAATACAAGGAATACTTCAATTAACTATTGTAACATTACAAATTCGTATGGTGGGAAGGGTGATGGCTTTAAAAAGGATTTTGGATCTGGTTTGTTCTTCCTCTTCACAGATGTAGCATCATCTGGCAATTGTAATTTAACTATTCAGCGCTGTATTTTAAGCAAAAATTTTGAGTATTATCAATCAAAAACTGAATCCATATGTGACTTTTATCATCCGAAGCATAATCAGGAACACATAATTCCAATATTCAATGCTGCAGGTCTGTCAGTTTTTAATTTGCAAAAAAAGTTCATAACCAATATTCAAGTGATGCAATCACAATTTATTCATAATCGTGGGACTTTAGCTGCAGCAGTCTTGATACTATACTACAACAGTGTTCAACAGTCACAAGTTCATATATCAAATGCTACTTTTGAAAATAATTTTTCCAATAATGGATGCCGTGGATCGGACCTATCATTCATTTTTTATGTCAATAAATCTATCAAGGGAGAGCAGCAATACAGTCATCAGCTTTGTGTTTCTAATAGTAGTTTTTCAAGGGACAAAAGTGAATCACATGAAAAAGGAATTATTTACTTATATATCTATAATCCTTCGAAAGAAATAAACGTGACTCTAATTTTTAGCCGTGTCAATTTTACATCAATTGTAGCAAAAGGAACTGGAATATGTTTACATGCAGTGTCTGATATTTCTGATAATTTGGCTAAAAACAGCACTGCTCAAGTTATACTGACAGATATTACTGCAGTGAGAAATACTCAACTCAGCAACTTGTACACACGTAATTACCATCAAAGTATCTTTGTTATAGAAAACTTTGATTACATTTTATTAGCTGGAAACAGTACCTACACTAACAATTATGGGTCTGTATTTGGCATCAAGAACACAAAAGTAATACTTGATGGTCGATTGCACTTTGAAAATAACACTGGGAACAGTGGATCAGCTTTTATGCTAACTGGTTTTAGCAGATTCATTTTAAATGACAAGCTGAATGCAACTTTTATTCATAATGTGGCTTTCACTAGTGGAGGAGCAATATATGCATACAATGATATAACATCAGAGTGTATGTTCACACCATTGACACCATTGGCAAATGGTTCTAATATTACTATGCTATTCATTAATAACAATGCTACATATTCTGGGAATGCTATATTCAGCAATAATCTTTATAACTGCTCAACAATGAAAAACTTTGATGCTGTGGTAGCTAAAAATTATTATCATGCTTTATCAAGAGGTACTATACTTAATAAAACAGATGATAAACAATTGTCTACAGTTGCTTTTAAGCCAATAATATGCTATAATGATACCTCAAACTTCATGAATGATAACAACAGTATTGTTGTGTATCCTGGTATGGTGTTACAATTTCCAATGTCTGTTCTTGATGCATTTAATCAATCAACTGACACTGATGTTTCACTGAATTTACTTCATTTTGAGCATCTTAAAGAAACATCAACACAAGGTGTTCCTTCAAAAAATTGGTATGTTACTCCCATTGTCATAACTTTATCACAGAACAATTGCACAACAGTTAATGTCAGTATATTTAAAAGAACTGAACATGATTCACCTTTAGGGCTAAGTCTTTTAATGTCTATTCCACAAGTATCTTTGGCTAGAGTGACACACTTCAATCCAAAACGATGTCCACCTGGCTTGGAATTTGTTAATTCAACTCATAAATGTGAATGCTCACATGTATTACATAAAATTGATTTTCAACCTGTTTGCAAGATTTCATCTGATGGTCACAATTCACTGATTACAATCAAATTAATAACCAGCTATATCAGCCATTCAAACTGGATTGGTACTCTTCGCAATGGAACTGCCTTTGGAGTTTCATCTTGTTGTTACAATTACTGTAGATACAAAAACAATTGTGATGCTTTTGTTATTAATGATAGTGCTGAGAGTATAGATGTATTGATAGCAAATTCAAGCAATTATGATAACAAGGAAAGCTTATGCTTAGACAATAGAGAAGGCCCTTTGTGTTCACAATGCATTCCAGGCTACAGTGTGACTTTTGGTTCTAGTCAATGTGCAAAGTGCAGTAACTGGTGGCTGCTGACACTAATAGTATACGGACTAGCAGGGCCTTTACTCATTTACTTGTTATATACTCTCAATCTGACATTAACTACTGGAAAACTCAATGGAATAATATTTTATTCTCAAATGCTGAATAATACAAATATACTGTTACGTTACCATAATGCAGTCAATCATGGATTTACTAAATTCATTTTTTTCTGTTCCAGGGGCATTGTATTACTCATTAACTTAAACATTAGTTTTAACATCCCACTGTGCTTTTATGATGGCATGTCAGAGCTATGGAAATCTGGTCTTGGTTTACTATTTCCTGTTTATCTTCTATCAATAGTCATTGGTCTCATTATAATCAGTCGATATTCAGTAAAACTCTCTAACAGAATAGCCAGATCATCAATACAAGTACTAGTTACTGTTGTACACCTCTCCTTTTCTACACTTTTATCATCTTTGATTGATGTATTCACCCCTGCTTATATACAC